CCTAAGGTTTTTTAAAAAGATGATTTTTAAAATACTTGAAGGATTTCATATTCATCACTACAAAGAAGTTGTGAGTACTAATATAGAAGCATTGGATTTAATTAATAAGAAAATATCGAATGAAACTGCCATAATTGCCAATAAACAGAGCGGTGGCAAAGGGCGCGCAGGAAAAATTTGGATTTCCCCTGAGGGAAACCTCCATGTAAGCTTGATAATAAATCAAGTGACGGATATTAATAAATTAACAGAGTTCACCTTTATTGCCGCTTTAGCTGTTGGAAATACATTACTATCATTAAAAAGTGATCTACATCTTCAATATAAATGGCCTAATGATGTTTTGATTGATAACAAAAAAATTAGTGGAATATTATTAGAAAAAAAAATCAACTCAAGTTGGATGGTGATAGGAATTGGAATTAATATAACCTCTGCACCACTCCAAGAAACAACTTGCATTAGTGACTATAGTAATCCTGTGCTCAATACAAATCTACTAAAGGAGTTAATAATAAACTTTAACAGATTAAGAAAACAGTGGCTACTTTGTGGATTTTATGATATACAAAAAATCTGGTTAAAAAGAGTATTTAAGTTAAATGAGCAAGTTAGCATAAGGCTGGCCGATCAACTATACACTGGTACTTTTACTGATATAGACGAATACGGCAGATTAGTATTGCAGCAAGAAAATAAAAACTTGATTTACTTTAATACTGGTGAACTATTTGATATATTATGAATACATATGTAATCGCCGCTTACTTTTTTAGTTTTATATTGATTATTGGAGAACTTATTTTTACATTTCATTTTCACAGAAAAAGCAAGAGGATTTTGGAAGATATAAACAAAAGTAATGAAGAAAAAACATAAGAGGTTACTTCTATCCTCGGGACTTTTCTGTTTTTTAAGCTGTATAGTTTTTTTTACTTTAGCAGCTCTTAGGGATAATATTTCATTTTTTTATACGCCTAGTGAGGTACCAAGTACAGAAAAACCCATACGTATTGGCGGCGTGGTAATTGAAGGTAGTGTTGTTCGCAATAAAAGTGAAGTAATTTTTCGGGTAACAGATTTTAACAAAAGTGTGAAAGTGATATACAAAGGGATCCTTCCACCTATGTTNGCTCCGTATGGATTGCTTGGATTTTGGTTTGTAGAGGTTGGGGAAATCATTCATGTCAAAGAAGGTATGGATATTTAAATACATCACTACTCATATTAATGGCTATGTGTGTTATAAGTCTAGCTTACGTTGCATATTCTGAATATACTGTAGAATCTGTTGAGTAGATGGACACAAGTAATTTGGATAAAAGGTAGATGTTTAAAGGAATAATCGCAGATATCGGGACCATAATTAATATCAATCCTGATCAAATTTTTTATATCAAAACAGAGAATCTATCCTCTATAAATATGGGAGATTCTATTGCTTGTGCTGGCGTGTGTTTGACTATTATTGATATCATAGATGATGTATTTGCAGCTCAAGTGTCCAGGGAAACCTTGAAAGCCACAAATTTAAATACCTGGAAAATAGGTACAAAAATAAACTTAGAGCAAGCCACTAAGCTTAGCGATAGAATTGATGGACATTTAGTGCAGGGTCATATTGATGGAATAGTGAGGATTTTAATGATTAATCAAAACCTGAGTTCTCGTGAAATAAAGCTGTTATGTCCACATGAATTAACTAAATTTATAGCAAAAAAAGGCTCTGTGACTCTAGACGGGATTTCCCTTACTGTAAATTCAATTGTTAATCAAGAATTCACAGTCAATATAATTCCCTATACATGGCAAAGTACAACCTTTCAGTACAGTAAAGTTAATGATTTTCTTAACCTTGAAGTTGATATCATTGCTAGATATTTACATCGACTGTTGCGGAATTAATTTTATAATTTATAATTATAACATCTCAAAAAATCATATGGATGTAAAAATATGCTTTTCGACAGTATAGTTATTTTTATTGTTGTTTTATGCACAATAATCTCCTTAATGCGAGGATTTATAAAAGAAATATGCGCGCTAATGTTGTTACTTTTATCAATCTTTCTTACGATAAATCATTACGATTTTTTTACTATAAATTATAGTAAATATCTTGATTACAAAGTTATAATCAGTATATTATCTGCAGTTTCTGTATTCGTTATACTGAATCTTATGTTTATGATAACAAATAACTGGATAATGTACATATTGTCACCAATAAGATTGGGTTTTGTGGATAGAGCTACTGGTATGTTTCTTGGTGCATTAAAAGGAATAATGCTCTCTTATGTGCTATTTTTTGCTGTGTATTTATATTGCCATGTAACATCAGATGAAGATAAAACGAAAGAAGTGCTACCTACTTGGATAATAAATTCACATTCTTATCAGGTTTTATTTTCCACAGCGGAGGATACCATTGATACATATGTACCAAATCAACTGATATTAAAGATCAGAGAGATTGGTCAAGAAATAATTGTAGATAAAAAAGATTAGCCCCGCTCTATGTTTTATAAAGAACAAGGGCCAAAACTTCTTGCTATGTTGCATAGCCCTCAAAAAAAATCTGATTGAGATAATTACTAAGTCATTGTAATGTCTTTTGCAGTAGAGCTTAATTATAGTTCTTCTCGAGATATAAAATCCATGATGAAAAGGGCTAGATATTAGCTATATAGTATATTAAGCTTAAGCAAATTTTAATAAATTAAAAATAAAATTCATTTAGTAAATTTATTTATAAGAGGATGAAATGATAAAAAATATTTTAATTATAAATAAGACTTTAGTGAGTCTTGAGTTAGCTAACAAAAAAGATTTGGAAAACTTTATTAAGATTTTTACCGTATTCGAGAAGCATAAAGCGGCTAGCACGCTTTTTACAGATGAGGTAAAAATAGAATATGCGCAACACAACGCAATGGAAATTGTCAAGCTAATTAAGGATACAAGTTTTAGATATAGCGACATTGAAAATATATTAAATCACTTGAGCAAGCATGGAATTAAAGCAACCAATGACATCATTGCATACACGCTTATAGCTGCATACGATACTGCCCTTGATTCTAGAGATATAGTTTTTTCACTTTTTGAAAACTCTCCACAATTTAATATTAAAGTGAGTAAAAACACATTCATAATCACACCTATGAGTAAATTACACTTAGAGTTGAATTCAAAAAATAGCACGGAATTCGTAAAGTTATTAAAGGATGAAAAAAGTATGTATGATTGTGTAGTCAAGGAAAACAGTATTAATGTTATAGTACACTCAGAAATACACCAAGCTATCAATTCAATTGTAGAATCATTAATAAAGTCTAATCTACTGGAGAAAGTAGAAGAAGAGAAACTCAAGGCAAGATTGAGACAGCTTGCCTTTAAAGATCAAGCCTTTGTTGAATACTCTAGTATTAAGGCTATCAATAAGTATCCACACGGTCACTCCCTCAGGAAACACGAAAACGTTATCAAGGGTATAGAAAATATTCTATATGATTTTATGAAAAATGAGGACAGTAAATTTGCTGTAGAACGATTAAATAGACTGCAGATAGCTCCGGACACTCCAAGAATTATCACAAAAACTATAGATAAACTTGTAAAGTTTCACTAACTTCTATAAACCAAAATTTAAAGAAGCAAGAAGAAAGTGGTAGTTTACCAGTTAATAAACAAGGAGAAACTCAAATGAAATATTACACATAAGAAACAAAATGGAAACAAATTTTTGCAAATTTGAAAAGTATAAAAGAAATACATAGTAAAAATGAAGATCATCTAAGAAAACTCATGGAATCAGTGTAGCATGTGACACGAAGTGGTTGCCAATGAGGACTTTTATTAGAAATATATGGCAATTACAGAAGTGTACATAAGAGATTTAAAATTGGTATAAAAGGGAATTTGAGAAAGATTGTTAAAATATACATAAGATCCAGATTTGGAAGTGCAAATAATTGATGGGACAATCATTCGAGCTCATGCTTGTACTGCTGAATACAAAAAAGATTCTGGAGCTCAAGAAGCACTAGGACGCAGCAAAGATGGATTACAACTACTCTTAATCAAAAAAATGATATTACACAGGCTAAAACATTGACTGAAAATGTTCAAACTCTACTTTAGTAGCCGATAAGGGTTGCTATAGCAATGCACTCCTCTAAAAAGAAATCGAAAAGCGCGGAGATACTATTACGAATACGTTTATAAAGAGAGGCATTTTATCGAGTATTTTTTTTGTAAGATAAAACATTTTAGGCGGATTTTTTCTCGACTTGACAAGACTGCAGTAGTTTTCATGAAGTTTTTAACTTCGTTGGTGCTCCGTATGGATTGCTTGGATTTTGGTTTGTAGAGGTTGGGGGGTTAATACATAAAACAATGAGTAATATTGTTTATACAGCTGAACTTAGTGCTATAATAGAAGATATAACATTAGAAAATGCAGTAAATCTCATATAAAATCTAAAGCACGGGCGTCCCGTGCGCCATACAATAGACCTTATATCATAGTAAAATTATACTGACTATTTTATTATAATATGCAATAGCCAAATTTTATTATAATTTGGTTGGTGGTGAAGTTATGGAATGCGAATAGTAAAAAAATATTAGGTGAGATAAATCTTAAAAGGATTTAGGTATTAATAATGTTGTCAAAAAGTACAAGAAAATTTGTAACAGAAGATAAAGATGAATATGAAGCGTGGGAGTAAAATAACTGCAATCTTGTTACTTATCTAGTGTTCTTCACTCACCTCGAAACACAGCTCATAAGGAGCGTTATTTTGTCTAGCTACTTACAATTAACTATAGAATGTGAAAAACGCTTTATTAGAAAGAGCGTTCACTATAGGCTCAACATCAGAAACACTAGCACACAAGAAAAAAAAAGTGCTGGTATTGTTGATACAACTAAACCTAATACCAATGTAGAAATTATAGCATTAGTATAAAGTAGTGAAACTCTGATAAGATTTAAAGTACAGGCGTCCTGCAGCATTATAAGCTGTTGACACCTGCTTATTAGTTACACATTATCACCTCAGGCTTGCACGTGTGTGATTATATTATAGTAAACCAATCAAGAAATCTGCTATCTTACAAAGATATAGAAAGAAGACTACATAATAAATTCCGACTACTTTTCATGGTTTAGCAAGCTATTATTGTGGTCAACTACTTTCTATATGCATAACAATTAACACATTGTTTTAAAACAAAAGGATAAATTATAACAATGAAATATATATGGGATAACTCCTTTACATTTGGCTACTAAAAATCGCAAAACAAAAATAGTTAATCTTCTGATCAAAAGAGGTGCGAATGTTAATATAATCAACCGCAAATAAGTTGACACCTTTGCATTGCGCTCCGCAAGAAAAATAATAAAGAAATAATCGAAATTCTAATAAAAAGGTGCAAATCTAATGCATTAGATGATTCCAAGAATACTCCTCTGTACTCAGCTTCTGCGAGGGACCCAATTCCTATCAGGAATTTATAAAACTCTCGTAAAAAGGAAGCAAATGTTAATGTAAAACAAGTATGGATAGACTCCTTTGCATCTTGCTGACTAATATTTTCCAGTGAAGGGATCATAGAAATGATGATAGAAAAGGTGTAAATGTTAATTCAGTATACGAAGATAAACGCACTCCTTTGCGCATCGCTGCATCTTCCTTTAAAAATGTCGCCCCTTTTTACAAGATAAAGATGACAAAACTCCACTGGATTATAGTAGTGATACATACGACTATATAATGTAATTTCTAAGGGAAAGGCAATTAAGAAATATTCTTATAGCAGCTCAAGCAGTATTAGGTGGTATAATAATAGCTATTGCCATTACAAATGAAATAGCTATAGTTAACGCAACATCCATAATGCAGCAGTCATTGTATTAGAATCTTTGCTATAGCCGTCGGTAGTGCTACATATGTCTCATCAAACCCCAATACTAAAGTAAATGGAATGAAACAACCTCTCAAGGTTTAATAAGATTTAACTATATAGCAAGCAAGTAAAATAAGTTTACTTCACGACCTATTTACATTAAAGTTCTTTGATATGAGTATAAG